CTTTTTTTTTTTTTTTCTAACCCGGCCCTTATCCCTTCAGAACAAATTCAGTGGGTCCACATCAAACAAAACAACAGCAGAATGGATGATGTTGCCATTTATCTGCTCTGACTAATGCAGTTCCTGATTTCCCTTCCAAATTAAATGCGTTTCGCTTAGTACATTTTCAACAGACGTTACTCATCTGCTCGATTAATGAGTTTGCGGTGAAAGCGTACTTTGGTAGCAATTTGAAACAAAAGCACCTTAACGTGCCTGAGGCTTTGCTTTTTCCTTGTCTCTCTATATCTTAGCCTCTCTTCCTCCCTCTCCCTCCCAAGGGCAAATGCATCACAGTAGTGAGGACGGGGAAGCTGGAATTGGCTGAGGGTTCTCTTCTGTGTCACTACACTACATTAGGAATAAAACCTTCCACTTAAACACTTAAATGAAAACATCGAGAAACTAATTTACTATTTGCAATCACATGATTTAAGCCGAAGCTGCCTTAATTTCCTTCCCATTTTGCTTCATATTCAATGTGAGCACACACTAGATTGGTCTATGAAAAGGCTGTCTTCGAATCACAACACTTAAGACCTCTTTCATTTTCTTTTTGATTAAATAATTGAAATTCCTGTCAGGGCCTGCACTTTACTGACGCACAGATTTGGTGTGTGAGGATAAAGACCACTTTTTGTCTGCTGCCTGGGTCTTAAAAGCCAGCAGGCTTTCCTTCACTGAGGGGCTGGACCCACGCTATTCACCCATTTCGCAGAAACGTTCTGGGCCCATTATGTGATTGTTCGAGACAAATTATGGAAAGCGTCTCCTCTCATTTAACCATCCCTATTCATCTGGAGGCTTCTGCTAGGCTGAAAAGAGCTGAGCTAACTTCATCCACTAGGAAATTAAAAAAAAGAAAACCCACGTGCACAGCTACACACAGACGCAAAGCACGCAAATATCAAAAAGAAATAAGTCACGGAAAACTTCATTCGCTTCAACTAAAGAAACCTGAGGCTATTTACATCCCGTGACGGGCTGTGGCAGGGGCCCAGCATGGCCACAGGCCGCCAGCATCCTTAAGGGTGTGGTAAGTGGATCATAAAGACAAAGTCACCCCCTCTTTATTCCCATCATCTGACGAGCCGGTGACTGAACTGCACAGAAGCAGGTGTTTACGTGGCTCTACCCTTTGAAACTTGTCTCTGTAACACACACACGGCCTTCGGATGTGTGTCCGTGTTTAAATACAAATCACGGGGCAGCTGGGTGGCTCAGTTGGTTGAGCGTCTGACTTTGGCTCAGGTCATGATCTCGGGGTTTGTGAATTCAAGCCCCATATCCTGCTCTCTGCTGTCCGCGCAGAGCCCGATGCGGATCCTCTGTCCCCCTCTCTCTCTGCCCTTTC